CAAATTGGATTTTGAAGTTCACTTAACGCTACAGCAGCACCATAAACAACAATTACCATTTAGAAAATATATGGCGATAAATATTACCCTGAGGCCATGTTATGTGAAGGAGTTCTTTTGGTGTCGAGAATGTAAACTATTTTGACTTTAATTTGCAATTAAATTAAGATTAATGTTTGTCTTGTTAAAAATATATAAGTTTCAAAATATTTTATATAGATAGATCGTTTGAATATTAAATTGGTTATGAAAGCATTTTGAATTTAGTATGGTTATTTACTAAGCTAAATTACTAAGCTGAATTTAAACTAAATTCAAAACCATCAATTTGTACCCATAAAATAATTAAGTGCTTCGTTGCGTATGACTGTCGTCGCAACGTATACGCCACGATAACAAAATATGTGTAAAATCGTTTAAATTAGTCCAAGCTCACTGACAGGACCATAGCATTTTAATAACATTTTACATAACCATATCGCAAAGTGGATTTCCTATCGAATTCTTTCTCTGAGATCTCATATCGAAACGTAGAACTTACAAAGTGTTAAATTACAAGATCACCTCTTCAAGTGATAATACGGTCCGAAAACTTTTCTCAATGAAACAAAGAAATTATTTCGTTGCTTGTGATGTGCGAAAGTAAACATTGTTCAGGTCAATTCCACCCTTAAAAAAACATTATCCATCGATAGCGCAATACATTCAACGTAACTGTTGATCTAATTTTATTTTCGAAAACGAAACCGGACAGTCACACTTTTAGGATAGGGAGACTTTTCAACAATAACTCTTCGTAGCCAGCGAATTGCTTAGGAAATATGAAATTGCTTATTATATCCATTTAAATTTTGTAGAACAGTTATTTGAAACACAAAAAACTATCAATTTTGTGAACTCAATTCAGCTAGCAATTTGTGCCCATAAAAGTAAAAACAATTGTACATCGGTGCGTATGACTGTTAACGATACTTATACGCCACCATAACGAAATATGTGTAAAATCGATTAATTCGATCAAAAATAGCTACATCGATCACCCTTTTTACAGGAAATTTTCACGAATTTTATCATTGATTTATTTATTCGACTCGGAGCTGTTGGCATAGATTTTATGTCCCACAGGAAGAAGTCACATGCTGTAAAATCAAACGATCTCCGTTGCCAATTGTAATCACATTTTCTAGACATAACACATTTCGATTGTGTTAGATTTTAAACATTGTCCAAATCAATAGCATTCAAATCCGAATCTTTAAAAACTCTTTAAACATCTCTCTAAAGTGTAATCCACTGCTGATCCAAACTAATTTTCGATAAATTATGGTCCAAAGACCACTCTGGACCGTAAACTGTACAAACAGTAGCATACTTAGGGATGGATAGGTTTCTCAGCAATAATATTTGATTTTTTTTTTTTGAGCCCTAGATGTGAAATATGCTATGCTGAAGTAGCTACCGAGGTGGACATGGGCCACATCACTCAACATCACTCATCAAAATACGTCATTGTGGATTAATGGTCAGCTTGAATTATGGTTTTAACTCACTTGTCCCAATAGTAGGAATTTTTTGATCAATATCTATACTTTGGTCCGAATCATGTGGAGTAATGGTCTGCTTGAATTGTGGTTTTAACTCACATGTCCCGATAGTACGAATTTTTGCATCAATCTCTATACTGCGGTCAGAATTTAGTTTTACGAAATCTGACAGCAAGGTTTTCTCCAATTTTGCTGCGATTTTTATTAAACATGCAATTTGAGCATGTAACAGAAATAGGGACGTGGGTGCGTATGACTACTGTCACAACGTATACGCCATATATCACCAATAACACATAATATTTGTATTTTTTGAGCACCAAAGGTGAAAATTTTCCATGTTGACGTAGCCCCAGTGGTGAACATGTGCCTCATCAGTCAAAACAATTTTTCGATAGTACCCCGGTTCATTATTCTGCATTTCAAGGACCCAATCATCAAAATTAGTCATTGTGGATAATTGGTCGGCTTTAATTTTGGTTTTATCTGAACTTCTGACAAACCTCATTACACACCGAATACGGTGTAATGAGGTTTGTCAGATGAATAATTCCAAATAACTATGACGAATGGAAAAATCTAGTGTTTCTTCAACACTGATGTGTTCTTGAGTGGTATTCGTGGGTTTTATTCTTCACCTCACTCACGATTTTCTGCATTAATTTGTGTACTGCGTTCGGAATTGAATTTTTCAAACTCTGAAAGCAAGATTTATACCAATGTTGAAGGGATTTTTCATAATTTCACTGGATTCTTGCGCGTGATTTTTTATTCTTCAACTCACTTACGATTTTCTGCATCAATTTCTGTACTTCGGAAGATTTATACCAATTTTTAAAGGATTTTTTATAATTTCACTGCATTTTTGAAGCGCATATTATTATTTAATTTTTAGCAATGACGTAGTTTCTACTTAGTATAGGCTACTATATAGTCTAACCCGTCGGACTTTGGCACTTTACTTGCAATATTTTGTTCTCAAATAGGTACGTGGCTGCGTATGACTACTGTCGCTACGTATACGCCATATATTACCAATAACAATGTACATATCAAATTTAGAAGATAAACCAACGTCCCCATATACAAAACTGGTACAACTTTTCTCATATAGGGGAGACTGGGGCACCTTCCGCATCGGGGCACCTTCGGCAATCGCTTTTTCGATATGAAGCACTTACCGTACATCACTAGTTTCGATACATAGGTATCGAGTATCGAAATAAAAAACTGACACAAAGTTTGAAATTTCTAGCTAATAAACTTAGTTAGATACATGGGTTTTTGTATTTTTATAGATGTTTCTGTAATATTTCAATTCCATTTCGTAAGTATTTCGTGTATAAAATTTTTTAAATTTTTAAGACAATATTATTAAAAAGTGGTTAACTACGATGTGTATTATTATAAAAATATTTAAAAATTTAATGTTTTTACAAAAATGGAAAAAACTATTAAAAGTACATTCGGCATATTAAAGTGGGGCACATTCGGCCATATACAGATTGTGCAATATTATTTTCTTAAAATGTTTTTGAGTTTGTCTTTCGAGCTAATCCTTTAATATGGTTCGAAATTGCATATATATGGGGCACATTCGGCGAATTTGACTTTTTTTACAAAACTGTAAAATTTTTTAACTAATACTATTTTTTTATATCTTTTTGGTACTATTTTTTATAATTAAGAGTCAGAGGACAATAATCAGCCATAAAGTTGTTATATATGTTGAATAAGTACTGAGATATAGAGCTCTAACAAAAAAGTGCCGAAGGTGCCCCAGTCTCCCCTATATAGGAAAAATCGAAAAGATTTTTGCTGAATATTGAAATAATGCGAGACACAACAAATACTATTTATGTCAACCCACAAAATGGAATCGCAGCGAGCCATAATAAACCGAAAATAGTTTGAACATTGCTGATAACTATTTGTAATGCTTTTGCCAATCAAAATTGTTTTCCTAGGAGGGACATACCGTGAGATAGAGCCATGTTTAATATACCATAAGATAGAAGCATGCTTGCGTATTTCTTTCCCCAAAATACACTCGAGTTTTCGTAAATAAGGTTTGTTCTCGTTGGATCCCGCACAATTCCGGAATCCCTCAATGAAGGTTGATGTGCAAAGAAATTATAAAACAAATCAAGAAACTGCAAAATATGTTTATAAGATCGTCAGCTATCTCCCCTGCTGTTCTATGAAGGCTAACCAACGTCAAAAAAGTTTGTTCGTGAAAGGAGCACTTCGATGCCTCAGTAAAACTGATTATCTGGTGGTTGTTCAGCTGGATCGAGGAAGAACGATCAATGCTGAAAGATACATCACCATCAGCCGAAACATTGTGCACCATTACAAAGCGAACTCTCAGAGATAATTTTTGTCTGGCCAAAATGTGGGTCATCTTCCATACAGCCCTGACTTTGCATTCAATGATTTCTTTTTTAATTTACATTAAGAAAAAACACTGTCATAGATTTTCTGAGCCAAAAACTGCTGTAAATATTTTAATTATTAAGCCAGAAATATTATTAAGTAAAGAATTAGTTACATCAGTGCGTATAACTATTGTCACTACGTATACGCTTTATATTATGAAATGCAAATTATATGGGGAAATCGGGAATATAAAGTCACCATGGATTTTGAATTCTATTAGATCGAACTTTCTATAGTATATAATTAAATTTTGAATATTTGTCCTACATTAGGTACAGAATTATGTACATAGATGCGTATAATTATTGCCACAACGTATACGCCTTATGTTACCAATTGCAAATTATATGTAAAGTTAAGATTAGAAAGCCGCCACAGGCTTCGGATCGCACTTATTAGTTAAAAAAAAAATACCAATCATTTTTGAAAGCTGTCCCTCACTATTATTTTAAGAACGTTTAAATTTTTATATCGCATTGACAGCAAATACTTCTACAATAAATGCCAATATAGATCTACAAACCTTATAGAATCGCTGATATATACACCCTAATTATGAACTTCTTTTAAAATATTTCAATTTTTCGTTCGAACTGTTACCCATGATTTGTCTTACTATAAATTTCTGCTTTGACCAAAGGGCAGCTGTCCATACATAGATTTTTTTCTGTACAATTAGTAGGGCTTCTACAAGCAGCCATTACCCGCTCGAACAGCAAATCGATTAAAACCTAATTGAAATAAAATTTACAACAAGTCCTTAATAATATGAAACCAGTCTTCAAGAATGTTAAAACAACAAAAATTCTCGTCTGCACCTAGACCATTGTCTGGTGCAGATTCAGTACAGAGCTCTTAAAACAACCAACCACCACTTCGAGATAATTTATTCCAAAAACAAGTTTAGTTAGTTAACAATAAATTCTTGTTGTTGTTGGGAATATTTTAAAAATACTTAACTTTTTTTATTAATTATTGATATTAATTAATTTTTTGGTTTTCTTTATTTATTTGCAGCCCTCTTTGTTTTAGTCAACATGCGTGAACGTAGTCATACAACACCCCGCAGACGCGGACCCAAACAACCTTTGCCCCAGGATGCCTTGTATCATGATGATTCGCCATATGATCAACACGAATCACCCTATTATACCATAGATAATACCGAAGATATTTACAGTACCACATTGCTGCCATCGCAGCGGTGTTATGTAGATCCATGGGATTTGGAAAATTATGATTATGTGAGAAAGTAAGTAATTTCAAGGTCTTCCCATAGAAGACTAGTAGGTTTTCTGCTCATAGAAGAGCATGGGGTATTCCCATAGAAGATCAGGAATCTTCTCATAGATGAGCAGGAGGTCTTCTTCCCATAGAAGAGCAGGAGGTCTTCTTCTCATAGAAGAGCAGGAGGTCTTCTTCTCATAGAAGAGCAGGAGGTCTTCTTCTCATAGAAGAGCAGGAGGTCTTCTTCTCATAGAAGAGCAAGAGGTCTTCTTCTCATAGAAGAGCAGGAGGCCTTCTTCTCATAGAAAAGCACGAGGTCTTCTTCTCATAGAAGAGCAGGAGGTCTTCTTCACATAGAAGAGCAGGTCTTCTTCTCATAGAAGAGCAGGAGGTCTTCTTCTCATAGAAGAGCAGGAGGTCTTCTTCTCATAGAAGAGCAGGAGGTCTACTTCTCATAGAATAGCCGGAGGTCTTCTTCTCATAGAAGAGCAGGATGTCTTCTTCTCATAGAAGAGCAGGTTGTGTTCTTCTCATAGAAGAGCAGGATGTCTTCTTCTCATAGAAGAGCAGGATGTCTTCTTCTCATAGAAGAGCAGGAGGTCTTCTTCTCATAGAAGAGCTTGTGCTCATCCCATAGAAGGGAAGGAGCACTTCCCATACCAGACTAGGAGCTATTCTTATAGAAGAGTAGCAGCTTTTCCTATTGAAGAGTAGGAGCTCTTCTTATAAAATATTGGATATCTCTTCTTATAGAAGAGCAGGAGAACTCTTCATAGAGTAGGAGCTCTTCTTATAGAAGAGTAGGAGAGCTCTTCCTATAAAAGAACAGTGTTATTCCTTTAGAAGAGCAGTTGCTCTTCCAATATAAGAGCATGAGAAGTTCTTCGTATGGAAGATAGGAGAAAATCTTCCTACAGAAGAGAAGGAGGAGCTTTTCCCATAGAAGAGTAGCAACTTTTCCTAGAGAACATGCTCCTATCTCTTCCTATAGATGTGAAGGATTTGTTCTAATAGAAGATAAGATTTATAAGTAATTTTTAAGGTTTATTCGGTATTTTATTTACATTTCCTTTGTTCTCGTTTTCTCCCCTTCTAGGAAGATTGGGCAATCTCCATCCCCACGTGGCTATTATGAAAGTTCGGCTACTCCTAGCCCCATTGAGGAGCCAATACATTCACCATACTACTACGAAAGGGAACCATTGGAAATGGCACCACGTATGGCATCGACTATGCCACGCAAACGCCGAACCTCACACTATCAGTGTCAGTTGGAATGTTGCAACAATGTGCGACCATCGTCCAGACGTCCCAGTGGCATTTATGATGTTGGACGTCGTGACAATTACGACGATTATATGATATCGCATATGGCACAGAAATTTCAGAATTTCAATTTGGAAGATGTTGAACCAAATCTATATGGACTATATGGAGGTAAGTAGGACAAAAGAAGAACTTGATAGACAAATATTTAACACTTTTTTGTTTTTCTTAGGCGCCTCCACCTCCTCCTCCACAGAACCACACAGCTCATTGGGCGATGGTGATTATCTAACGGCCACAATGCCACGCAAGACATCAAATTATGGTGCTCTACCGATACGTAAAATGTCGAAACCTGCCCCAAAATTGGAATTTCCAGCACCGCCACCATCGGTGCCGCCGACCTATGACTACTGTAATCCTTATGCTACACTTCCCTGTTGTAGTGTAAACGATTGCTACGAATGTCAGGCTGCTCAGCAACAGTTGCAGCAGCAACCAATCTATGGCACCCATTCCATTTACGGCAGTGCCCCATCGCCAGACAATTGCTACGATTGCAGCCTCAGCAGCAGCCTGGGACGTCGTCCCTCCTCATCGCTCTACAGTGGAATTTATAGCAGTAAATTTGGTATGAGCAAAAAGGGCCTACTGCAAATCGATTACTCGTGCAGCTGGAATGATTTGGATCGGATTATGACAAGAAATTATTAAGTTCGTGCGTGGAAATTTTTGGTTTTTAATTTATTTTGTTTTAGTCACTTATTGGCGTCATCGTAATGTCGTCTTCTATGCTACTGCTTTTATTTCAATTCTAGTGTCTAATCTTAAATTTGCGTTTTGTGTATATTTTATCTTCTGAATCTTGTCTTATTAGTTTTTATAATATATTTTTATATACATATATTCGGAAAAGGCCTAACGAGATGACTCATCTGGCTAGGTCGATAGTAGGATATAATTTAAAATATATATAAATAATATTTTAGTCACTCTTTCATATAATATATATTTTTTGTTGTTATCACAAATAAAATTAATCGTATGTATGTAACCACAATTATTAAAAATTTCTGTTTTTAATTATGGGGACTTTGGGAATTATTTCGATATAGGTTAAAACAGAACTTTATCTAAGGATTCCAAAACCCAAAGGAAGAGAATGCATTGAAGCATTGAGAAAGCCTGAATTGAATTTCTTATAAGAATTCTTCCTCTATACGAAGGCTTCTATATATATTTCTCGTCCAAATAATGACAATTTTAATATTTATCACCGCAATCCAACAATTGTCGAAGCATCTTTTCCACAACGATTCAGACAGGATTTTTTTTAACTCTTCAACAGCACGATAAAATCATTGACCACTCATTTTTTTCTTGATATATGGAAATAAAAAAATCAGTTGGCACCTAATTCAAGGCTGCACGAAGCATAACTCCTTAATTCCACATTTTGACCAGTCAAAAGGCGCTGGACTTCTGTATAAGGATTTTCTCCTTATACAAAAGTCCGACCGTCAGAGTTTGTCATCGAAGTTTCTTTCAGTGATGTGAGTAACGAAACGACAATATTTGTTCATGCGTGATTAGGCAGCCTATTCCTACAGGGTTCTCCATTTCGTGGTTTCAAAAGTATGAAACTGGAATTCGACAATCATAGAAGTGAGAAGAAGATCCAAAACACTGCTATTAATATTCCATAAGATGCAGATCCAATAATCTATGAAATGTAAAGAAGACCTCCTGGCCATCTATAAGAAGTAATATGAGACTTTTATAAAAATACATCAAAATTTTCTATAATACCTCATAGTCTTCTACGCTTACAACGAACCCCAGTTATAGCGTACTTTTCTTATAGCGAACATATTCTGGTCCCGAAATTTTAAGATATATTTTTTATAAATCTTTTTACTCTTATAGGAAACTATAAAAAGATCAATGCCTCTTCGAAAAGAAGACCTCTTGTTCTTTTAAAAAAGGTCTCTGTAATGTCTGGTTCATCAAGTTAGCTTTCTGGGGGTCTCTGTAAGAGGACCTCTAGTTCTTTATAAAACCTCTTGGTATTCTTCTATAAGAACACCCTTGGACTGCTATAAGAATACGTCTTGGTCTTTTAAAAGGAGACCTCTTCTAAATGAAAACTTCTTTGTATTCTATAAAACGTCCACTAGATCTTCTATCAGATACGTCTAGTTCCTTTAGTATAAAAAAAACTTCTTGGCCGTCTTCTGTAAGAGGCCTTCTTTATCTACCTACCTATTGGCCTTCGATAAGATGACTTATTGGTCTTTAAACAGAAGACTTAACGGATCTCTAGATGAAGACTTTCTTATGTATTTTAAAAATAGACAAAAATACCTATCGGTTTTCTATAGGAAGACCTCTTGCTCTTCTATAGGAAGACCTCTTGCTCTTCTATGGGAAGACCTCTTGCTCTTCTATGGGAAGACCTCTTGCTCTCCTATATATCTATGGGAAGACCTCTTGCTCTTCTATGGGAATACCTCTTGTTCTTCTATGGGAAGACCTCTTGCTCTTCTACGGGAAGACCTCTTGCTCTTCTATGGGAAGACCTCTTGCTCTTCTATGGGAAGACCTCTTGCTCTTCTATGGGAAGACCTCTTGCTCTTCTATAGGAAGACCTCTTGCTCTTCTATGGGAAGACCTCTTGCTCTTCTATGGGAAGACCTCTTGCTCTTTTATGGGAAGAAATTTTGCTCTTCTATAGGAAGACCTCTTGCTCTTCTATAGGAAGACCTCTTGCTCTTCTATATAGGAAGACCTCTTGCTCTTCTATATAGGAAGACCTCTTGCTCTTCTATATAGGAAGACCTCTTGCTCTTCTATATAGGAAGACCTCTTGCTCTTCTATATAGGAAGACCTCTTGCTCTTCTATATAGGAAGACCTCTTGCTCTTCTATGTTTCTCTTCAAAAAAAATTATGTAGCCTTTCTATAAAAGACCTCTTCTCTTGTTTATTTTCTAATAGAAATATTTTAAGCGCATTTTAAACTCCTTGATTTTTCTTTAATATCAAATAGTTGCGGATTCATTTTATTAATGTTTCTCGTTGACTTATTTTCATAACAGGGTATCTGACTGCATATATTATGTTTGTTTATAACCACCCTGTTCTTCTGAATTCTTCTCGGTTGTTGGCAACGCTATGATCGCATTTTTATATTGCCATGTCACTACTGTTATACAGCCAAGACACCCTTATGTAATATATACAAAACTAATTAGAAATGTCCACTTATGTTAACAGATGTCTCGCAGCTTGCAATACAACGTCATTTTTGCGCACACAATTCAAATCGATTTATATGTATCTTTTGACCAGGTTCAATGGTTGATTAAAGCCGATTTAAAATCGTATATGTAATGTTCTTTAACTTATATATTTCGTCATTGTTAAAGTCGACTTTTGATTATAGAGGAAATCGCAAAGTGGACTTTTCTTGATCGATTTACGATTTTATTTGTAAAAATGAAATCAGCTTTTAAAAGGACTGCTTCTAGACTGAGGACAAATGTCGAACCTTGATAAATTTGAATTTAATTCGCTGATGCTACTTCGTATTAAAGGGTTCCGCACTATTATTTCGCGTCAACGCATGCAAAAAGTTAAAATATTAGGTTGGGGGAAAAGAAATCAATTATTTTTCTTTTTTTTTTTTTTTTGTAAATAGTTTAAAAAAATTTTATGATCGATTTTTAGCTCCTGGATCATATCTCCGATTTTATCGACATTTTGAAAGACCGGCCTACATGTGCGATGTGCAACCAGGGGACAAATTTCAATCGATTGTTGTGAATGGAGCGTTTCAGGCAAACTGTCGAGTGCACTACCTTACTTACTTACCTGGAAAGACAATTCCGGGTAAGGTCCTTGAATTCTTATCGCAGAGCACTTCAGAATTCTCGAGAATTGTATATAGAAGTATATAGTTTATAATGTAAAACCAAAATTTGATTGTAGTGACAATGTTTACAACATTGTGACTCAAAGTCATTTGATTTTTTCATTATAAAATGTTATTCATTAATATGTGAACATGAAAATCCGAACCAAAATTAATGAAATAAAAGATCAAGCTTCATTATCCCCTTACATAAGTCTGGTAGCAGAAATGTTATTGAAAATTAAAGGAGTATTGCAAAATTAAGCGCCATTCCAAAACTTTTCGAACTTCTAGTATCACGTAGAATAATTCATTTTTTTTCGCCAATAATTTCACCTTGTCAACATGGTTTCATAAAAGGAAGATCGACTTTAACTAATCTGATGGAATTAACATGTCATGCACACCATGGATTTTACACTGATTTTAGTAAAGCATTTGATACGGTGTTACACAAACTTTTATTATTTAAATTGGACGCCATGGGTTTTCCATTCAAAATTTTGACTTGGATTTCATCCTACTTGCAAAACCGCACTCAAAGCGTATCTAATAATAATATTTTCTCTAGAAATATTGATGTTCATTCTGGAGTTTCTCAAGGTAGCCATTTAGGTCCACTATTATTTGTGTTATACCTTAATGATCTTCCATCAGTGATTCAATCTTCTAAAGTGTTGATGTTTGCTGATGATGTAAAACTTTTCAGAAATTTAGACTCACTAAATCAAGCCATTAATCTACAAAATGATTTGCACTCTCTTAAATACTGGTGCAGTATTAACGGTATGTCACTGAATCTTAAAAAAATGTAAAAAATTATGCCTTTCTAAATGTCGTTCAATTCCTACCAATTATTTTATAGGCTCTTATAAATTAGACAATGTTGATTCCTTTGTTGATCTTGGCGTTATCTTAGATGATAAATTGCGATTTAATTTGCATATTGAGACCTCCGTAAATAAGGCCAAATCTTTACTAGGATTCATAAAACGATGGTCTAAAGAGTTTGACGACCCTTATGTGACTAAACGTTTATTTGTTAGTCTGGTTCGGCCTACATTAGAATATGGATGTGTATTGTGGAGCCCGTTTTACAGTTGTTATTCTAAAAAAATTGAATCTGTCCAAACACAATTTCTCTTATTTGCTCTTAGAGGTTTGCCTTGGAGTACAGTTGAAGGACTCCCTCCTTATGAAAATCATTTAAAACTTATTCATCTTTCAACACTAGAACGAAGACGTTTAATGCTGAGATCTATATTTTTAATAAAACTTTTACACGGTCAAATTGACTCGAAATTTCTAATCGGTGAAATCAAGTTTAATGTACCTTCACGTCTTATCGTAATTATATACCGCTTTATCTTCCTTTAGTGAGATCTAATTATGAGTTATGTAATCCCTTTAGATCACTATGTGAAATATATAACTACCTGTATAATCGCATCTCTTTATCTGATCCAATACATGTAATTAAAAATTCTATTCTAAATTTAGAACTGTAGAGTGCAAGCAGTTGCCAGATGTTTATGTTTTGTGTTTGTCTTTATTGTTGTGTTTAATTAATTAACTTTAAATTGTTTAACCGGCTGATGTTTAGTGTAGCCGGTGTTTCCCAACATTACTAACCCTCCATAATCCGGATTATGGGGTGTACGTTCTCCCTACGTTATGGGGAGGAGGACCCCTCGGTCGGCAAGGGCGGGTAAGAGTGGCGTGGCAACGATCGAAAAAAAATAGCTAATATTTATATAGCCAATATCTCTATCTCTATATATATAAAAATTACATGTAAACTCAA